TAACTGAAAATATTTTCAGTCATAATTCATTCTCAATGATAAAATTAGGTAACCTGATTCTTTGCACAGACTATTTTTCTTCCAAAATCATATAGATGTTTTATAATATATTATCTTGAATTTCAGTGTTTCATTCTTTGGTGCTTGACTGAACACATGATTGTAGCAATTATAAAAATAGTCACATTACCACCCACAAGACGAAAACCACTGGCCTTGAATTGAAAAGGTTAAAGGCATATACCATTACCTCAGGTAAAGGCCTGATTAGTATACAGGAAATGGGCAGAAACTATTTTCCCTCTTTACTTAAAAATATGACTAAATGAAATTAAGCAGCAGTGTGAAGAATTCAACTCAGGCTTAAGGAGCCTTGAGAGGGGGATTATTAAGTAGATGAGAGAGAGCCGGAATGTCTTATTAAGCAAAGATAAAAAAGATTGACTACAGTCCTCTCACCTATTTTATTTTGAACCTATGTTAGATATCCTCTTATCAAATAATAATGAGATTAAATTCAAAGATTTGCTCAGCCTTTTGATATTTTAGTATAATCTCTTTTATATTATTTTGGTATTTGAATGTGTAAAGTATGATATGGACAATCATTAGCGCATGCTTTAGGGCTTCGGAAGTTTCAGTCAATGAAATCTGGTTCCAACACAGAAATATTATGGTAGAAGTAAGCTGTTAAATTCATGGCAGTCAAGAAGTAAAGAACAAGAACAGAGAGAGGGGGAGAGAGAGAGAGAGAGATTAAGACCTCCATGATCTAATCACCTTCTAAAAGCTTTACACATGACACTTTGATCCAAACCATAACTGTATGGAAACTACTTTGTTAGCAGAATCATATGACAAAAATCTGCATTGTACATTTCTGATCTCAAATGGACCTGTGTCACTTTCAGATTTTTATCTCAGATTTCAAGTTTTTAAAAAAATTACCTCAAAAAACATTAGGAGCAAACATGGATTAATAAATGTGATTTAATCCTTAAACAAATAGTATAAACCTATTTAAAATATGATACATAATAAATTTCAAAGCAAATTTTTAAATGATAGTATTAACTGTAATGGAATTCTTGAACTACAGCATAAATATATATAACTAGGTGTAGCTTTATTTTTTTTGAAATGTTTTTTAAAAGCAGAATAATACAGAACACAAGCTTAGGAGCACAGCACAAAACACCAACATACACCATGCCCAGCTTCTGTCTTACTAACATTTACATTAGCTGGGTCACTTGTTAAAATGAACGAATCAGGTGTCACATAAAGGTACAGCATCACTGGAACATTGCACATAGACCCCTGGGGGGAAAATCTACTAGACGATGTTGCTCATGTGAAATCCTTTTTGCCTTTAGTCTCAAGAGTCCACAGACTATTGTAAAGTTTGTGGTGATTTATCATTATTCTTTTACTTTACAATTTCCCTGATGACTAATAGTGTTGGCATTTTTCCTTAGCCTGAGTCGTCTCCTATGTATGTTCTTCGGTGAGGTGTTTATTTAGATTTAAATTGGGTTGTATGTTTTGTTATTGCTTCATTTAAAATTTTTTTCTATAGTTTGATACAACCTCTTTATAGAGTCATATCTTACCAATGTTGTCTTCCATATGAAGCTTCTTTTTTCTGTTTTATTTCTTTTCTTGAACCCAGGGTTTTGTGCATATACTCAAGCACTCTATCACTGAGCTGCATGCCCAGCCTCTGCTTTTCTTAATAGCGTCTTTCACAGAGCAAAGACTTCTCATTTTAATACAATTCATGGATTTTTTTTCTAACATAGATCATGTTATTGGTGCTATATTAACTCACTGCCATATCAAGATCAAAGAGTTTGTTTTATTCTTCCAGAAGTTGTAAAGTTTTGCATTGCATTTATAGCTCCTTTTAAGTTAGATTGTCTGTGAATTTTACCACTAAAAAGTGTGAGTGTGACCCACTCACAGGGTACCCACACATGCAGCAAAACATTCTAAATATTTCTATGAATACGTTTCTGGAGGAAACATTTAAATTGGTGGACAAGTGGATTGCACTCCAAGTGTGCATAGGTTTCATTCAGTTAGCTAGAAAGCTGAGTAGAACACAAGGCTGGTGTTTCCCTGGGTGAAAGAATTTTCTGCTTCCCATGGACTTAATGGTGAAATATCAGCTTCTTGGTCTTCAGATTCTTCTGGGTCTCAGGCCTTCTGACTTGGATCAGAACTACAGCATCAGCTCTCCTGGATCTACAATTTTCCAGCTCAACCTGCATATCTAGGGACTTTATTGCCTCTGTAATTGCATCAGTCAATTCCTTAGACAGTGTTAGATGTCTCTGTACATGTGCTCATTCCACTGATTCTGTTTCTCTGGAGAACACTGACAAGTACATTGAGTTTCCTTTTAGTTTCCTGTGTAGTAAACACACATTCTGCATTCTGTGAGCGACAAGTCACTTTGGCAAGAGAAGACTGTTCTGGTCAGCTTGCAGTGCTTGTAACAGGACCACTTTTCTTCCCACACTGTGCTACCCAAGCTCCCAGGATAAAAGGCCATTGCCGTATTGCTGGGGAAGCCTGAGTCACACAGCCGAGTTGGTTACCGTTTGCTGCCATGGATCTGTCTGAGCAATGTTAATTTTGGTATTCACTAATCCAGCAAGGTCTGTCTGAATAAGTAAAGCAGACTCAGGGTGATATGTAACTGAGGGAGTGGAACAGCCCTTTCCGCCTTCCAGCTCTGAAAGTGGACGGGATTCAGAGTTGCTCCAGGGGTAGCTCACCTCTGCAATTAAGCAAAGTCCAGAACTTGAGCCTTGGAAGTAAAATCTGCTCAAGGCAAAGATCCAAGTCTTCATTTTGTTCCAACGGAAGAACAAGATTAAAAGAGAAAAATGGCTGCATTGAGGACAGAAGACAGAACTCCGTTTCACCTCAGTCTGTTTTAGCAGTTAATTTCTTCTCAAGAGGGACATTAAGTCTTTTTACCTGGCAGACAGGCGCTGGCTGTTTAAACCCAGTGTGGGCTATGGAATGGAATGATTAGATTTTACATTAGTCAGAGAGAGACAAGGTGCGTATTATTTTCCCCTGCCTTTCGTCATGAAATATACGCTACCCTTCCACTGGGTATTTGCTTAACCAGGTCATACAAATTCTAAATTCAGGAAGAGCGTCTGAAAATGAGGGCCTGCACACTTGAGAACATTTGCAGGTGTTTCTGAACGACAGGAACACACCCGTTTACTCTCCCTGTACTTTGCCAGGTCTTTGCTCACCATCACCAGTGATCCTGGCTGGTCTAACCTTCAGCTTAGAAGCGTGCTGTGTGATAAAGAATGATTGTGGATTTCTTGATTCAGAGAAAAACCACACATTTCTATAGACAGGAAAATACTATAAGCTTATATGTTACCGGTTTCAAACTTGAAACAATTTCAAAGATATTCTCTGACAATAAGTGAAAATGAATCATTTAATGAATTTTTAGGTTTTTAGCTATATTTAAACTTTTGATCAAATTTCAATAACTTAAAAGTATTACAGATGCAAAGAATGTCTTACAGGGTCCTTAAATTTTTCTTCTGCACTGGTTTTTACATGAGAAGTGCATTTCATTATTCTTCCTACAGAGTTACAAGTAATGAGTCTTCTTGAGAATTCTTGCTTTTGACAGTCACCTCATTTTACTAATTGTCCATTTGTAGTCTGGTTCAGAGTCATGCTATACATAAATAAGAAAACTTACACTCCACAGGATGGAAATATCTGGATTTCTGAAGAGCCCTCCAATCAAGCCTGTGACCCTGAATCGAACCTTGGTGTAGAGTTAATACAGACCTATTCCCAGGGTGGTTAGCACCTAAAACCCTACCAGAGCACATAAATACAAGTAGGTGTCCCCAGTGTTTAGAGTTAGTGGAGTAAATGCTGAGTGCTTTTTCCTACTTCAGGGAAGAACATAGTGTATTAGTCAGTTTGGTCCCCTCACAGAGAAAGATGCGGAAGCCAAGTTCCAAGAAAATGGTTGTAGTATTTCAGGAAAACAAGAATACATTTTCAAGTATTAGAAATGAAAAAATGAATTCCAGTGAGAGGAAAACATTTTTACTGTCGTCATCACTCTTTTATAGCTAAATAAATACTACTCACTAAACTTCAATATTATGTTAATACCATGAAATGTTTTAGTGCCTCATTGAAACTCAGAGCAACTCTCAGTCTTAAGTATATAACTAAAAGATGGGAAAAATGTATCCATTTAAAAATACCATGTATTACATTTTGGGGGTTCACCATTTTTGATGCCAGGAACAATAAATGTCTGATTATTTTGGCCTGGTGAGGAGCATTCTTGCCCTCTGTACTTGTTGGGTTATTTTGATCAAGATTTTGTTGTTAAAGATGTGTCCTTGGTTACAGAAAATAAAGAAATATCTCTTGTGGAACTTACTGACTTCTTTTGAGGTCTCTGAAGCGCTAATGACTCTGTAAAAATCTATAAATACTCAAGGATGTTTTTAATTAGTATCTTATTAAGTCTCAGGTACTATGTGCCCTTTTGCAAAGTAGTTATCATCTTGCCTTAAGATACAAAATCTCTACTTAATTACTCGGAGTTTCCTTCATAGCGTTGTGTGTGATTATTCAGTACTGTTTTGAGACTGACATGGTTTGTGGCTTCAGTTGTACATAATCAAATAAATAATATTCTCATATAACATGTTTCAGGCTGCCCCTTAATTTCCTTTCCAAGTGGGCATCTGGTTTTAAATATGGCTCTATGTTAGTCTTGCAGGACAGAATTCACAGGACTGGGATCTGCCTCAGCTTCTGACCTTAGTTAGCAAGGGGGTGTCAGAACAGCACTGCGGTGCCAGCACTGCTCCTCAGAACATTATTCAATTTTGGTTTTTGGCTCAGCTCACTCATCAGAGACTGCTATTTCCAGCTGCACTGCAAGCTCTCCCACAGTTTAATTCTTTGCTTATTTTTTTTAGAAAATCCTCCATCCAAGCACCACAGTGATGTGCCAAAGTACTATGATGACTTCACACCTCAGCTAATTCACATCTGCAAGGGGGAGAAAACAATTTGCAACTGAATCCAGCCTCACTAATGCCAGCCTAAAAATTCCTGTTGCTTATCAGCCACTCCGGAGACTGCAGGGTAAACCCATGTTTTATCTTAAGAAGTGTAGATAAGATATGACATGACATGCAAATGCAATGCACTGTGTATTTATTGACTTGTATTTTGACTTGCTATTTATGAAGAGTTTGTGTAGCTTATAGATCAAATCAAATCCACTTAGCACTTTCTAGAAGATGGCTTAGAAGTACTCATACTTAGCCTTTATACTATAATGTGCTCACCTTAATGGGAAAACAAATAATAGAAATAACTTCACCATCCATATATTTATTGAACACTGTTACTGTAATCTCAATCTTGCAGGAACAGCAGAGTATCGATCTATTTAGTCTTAGCTGGTTCCAGTATTTAAAGAGATCTTAAAATAAAGTGTCATGACAGGAAAAATACTATACATGTTTATTGAGCTTTCAGAACAAGCACTAATCTAGAATTTGAGGATGTAACAGATAGCAAGAGAAGCAAAATCTTTGCTTTCATGGAGTTTGGATTTCTGAGTGTGGGGAGAAAAACTAAACAAATAAGTAACTGCTTATGACTATTTAGGCATCCAGGGATGAGACTTTTGTAGAAAGTCTCATAGAAGAAGGAGCAGGCTTCTCAATAGAAGAAGGAGCAGGCCTCTTGGGGCCTGGTGGAGGAACACTCTGGGAGGAAAGAGCAGTTTGTTCAAAGGTTCCAAAGCAGGAGTGACTATGATTCAAAAATTAAGAAAGCAGCACTGAATGGAGGGTAGCAGGTGACAGAGAGAAGGAAGAGGAGTGAAGGGACCCAGATAGAAACGTAAGCTGTATACTCAGTGGTGTCAGATGCTCCGCTGAACGTTTTGCACCAGTGAACTCATTTCTCCTTTATCACGGCCTGTGACAGGGTAAGAGGATCTGGCAATTGGACATTTGAATTTTAAGATTTCCAAAAAGACAAGGGCTAGACTTGGATTGGAAGTCTCTTTAATCTTGATGGCATTGATAGGCACTTGGTCTGGATTACCTCATCTGTAGTAATTGAATTGTGCTAATGATAAAGCACCATTTTCTATCTTCTGGACCCACTGCTGTAAGAATTCTGTATAATTGACTAATTTATTTTTTGTTAACAGTTGCTTGCGTTTGAATTATTTTCTATCATGTTTATTTAATTAGCACTACTGGGGATTCAATGCAGGGCTTTCCCACTGAGCTGCTTCCCTAGTCATTTTAATTTTTGCTGTTATTGATTTTGAGGTAGCGTCTAAGTTGCTAACTAACCCAGGTAAGAGTTCAATTTATGACCCCCCCTGCCTGCCTTTCAGTGTACTGGGATTATAGGTGTGTACCACCTTGTCTGACCACCACCTTTTACAAATTAGAAAAATTAAGGTATGAATTTCATTGGGCAAATTTAAAGTTAATACGTATGCTATAATAAATACTAAAAACATGCTGGCCACCACTGTTAATAGCAGCAGTAACCACATACGAATAGAGTCATAGAATGTACAACTCCCAATAAAACAAATATTGAACTGTGCAGAGTTCTTCAATGGATATGAGGAAAAAAAGATAAATACATGATTTACTGAGTCTTTGATGCTGATTGGACACAAGGACACAAATCTTGGGAGAGAGATCATTTTATAGAAGAAGCAGAAGTTTGGCAAACAATTTAAGACCAGATTTTTCTGCATCTCAATTCATTATATCCACACATAAATTAACAGAATAAAATATTTTTATGATTAGTATACAACAACTATTTCCTTTTTCTCTACTTCACCAACAAATTATTTTGAATTTAGTGTTTTTGCTACTTTTTCACTAAATCTTCACAAAGCATGACCATTGCTACTGTAAGTAACAGAACTTAGTCTGGGAGGAGCATCTTGCCTATGTGATTTTAAGTCTCTTTGTTTCTGGGAAATTGCATAGTAGGCAATGTCAATGAATACTTTTTCAAAACTTTTTATTTCCCTGTGTCTTGTTTTTCCCCGAAGAGTTGTCCCCATTTCTCAACCCATCTGGCCTATGTGTTGGACTGTGTGGCCGCAGGTGCTCTGCAGTGAACGCAGGGAAGATTTCCCTGGGTGCTGGAGCTGAGTCATTGCTTTCCTGAGTCATTGAAAAGAAGATTGGATGTATAACCCTTTAGAGATTCAGTGCCACAGGATACGTGATTACCTCATCATCTGCTGTATCTCTATTTTCTCCTGTACTGGGAATGATTGGTAACATGAGGAGTTACAGTTATGGATTTCATATTTTTCCTAAAATGCTTCAGTTTGGGGCTGGCTTTCTCAGGCAGTGGGAATGATGGATTTTACAATTATTATTTTTATGGTGATGTGGAGCCTATTGAGCCTGAGTTCATTTGACAGGTATAATATTTTTTGGACAGCTGTAGATGATATTTAAAGTGTGCCAGAAAGGGGGGAAGACCCAAACCACGCCCACTGGGGGCTACTGTTTAATGTCAGCTGTCGCTCTGATTTGAGTTACACACATTGCTGTGAGTAAAATATACTCCTTAGGTTTTTAATTAAAATTTCATTTTACTGAAATACTATACATATACAGTTTAAAACTCAGTCACTGTTCCAAAGCCTGCAGTTCAAAGTCTTCTCTCTGTCCTTCTGACCATCTGAATTTTGTTTTCCCAAGGCAACCATATTTGCTTGTATGATTCTTCCTGTTCACATATCAATAATCCTTAATAAACATCAGGTTTGAACATTCTCTTTTCATTTGCCATTGTGGAATAAGAGAGTTTAGTTATTTTACTTAAACTTGACACTACAAAAGTATATCTACCCTCTATTCTCCTAAAATAAAATATGCTGGAATTAACATGTTAGTTCAATTAATATACATAATTATTATTCAAGACTGAGACATATCTTCATAATCTTAAGCTATGCATGTATTTCATGCCTTTATAATTCTTCTCTTAGGAAAATATATTTTAAAATATCAGTTAATTATGTGTATTTGCTTTAAGGAACATTTCTTTTTCCTGTTTTCCTCCTCCTCTTCTATCACCTTTTTCTTCAGCCTCTGTCTCTTCATCTGCTCCTCTTCTTCCTCTTTTGCCCCTTTTTTATTTTAAAGAGGAAAAATCCCAGAAAAATCAAGAAGCAAACAATCAGTTAAAAAACAGCAAAAGCAAAATGATGACAACAAGCTGGACATGGTGGCGCATGCCTGTAATCTCAGCAGTCGAGAGGCTGAGGAAGGAGGATCATTACAAGTTTGAGACCAGCCTGGGCTACAAAGTGAGCTTAAGGCCAGCCTGAACTGGGTAGTGAGACCCTATCACAAAAAGACAAAAAAGAAAAAAAATAAGGACAGTAACAACAAATAATAGCAAGATTTCAAAGCAAGATGATAGGAATTTAACAATGGTTGTTGTATTGCATATTGTTATCCTCAAAGTAATTGCTCAGGCCACCAGATACAGGCATGCAAGATTGATCAAACATTGTAATTTCCCTTGGAGCAGTTTGTTTCTCTTTTACCATATCTATTGTAATTTTTGAATCCTGTTGTCACTTTCACTTTTTTGTACTAGTGAGACAATACACTGTTTACACATGCAAGTCTGATTTATGTCACTTATCAATATGGTTTCTAGTTGCATCCACTTACCTATAAAAGTGTCCAGTTTATCATTATGTATGGCTGAATAGTACTCCATTGTATAAAAATACCCCATCTTTTTTATCCATTCCTCAGTTGATGGGCATTTGGGTTTTTTTTCAAGATTTCGCTATTGCAAACTGAGCTGCTATAAACATGTGTGCACATATATCACTGTATTAAAAATAACCACTGTGGAAATCAATGTAAAGATTCCTCAAAAAACTAGGATTAGAGGCCCCATTTGACCCAGCTATTCTACTTCTAGGTGTTTTCCCAGAAGAATAGAAAACATAAGTATGTTTTCAAGGTGCATCCATTTACCTATAAAGGTCTCCAGTTTATAATTCTTTATGACTTGAGTACTATTCCACTGTGTAGAAATACCACATATTTTTGATCCATTCCTTAGTCAATGGGCATTTGGGTTCTTTCCAAGACCTGGCTGTTATAAGCTGTACTGCTATAAACATGCATGCACATGTATCATTGAGGTATGATGCTTTCAGTCCTTCAGTGGTTGCATCAGTCTACACTCCCACCAACACTGGAGAGGGGTTCCTTTTTTCCCACAGCCCCACCAGCATTTATTATTGGTTAATTTCTTGATATTAGCCATTTTTTTCTGGAGTTACATGAAATAATCAATGTTGCTTTAATTTGCATTTCTCTAATGACCGATGATGCTGAACATTTTTTCATGTATTTATGTGCCATTTGTGTTTCTTCATCCGAGAACTGTGTATTCATCTCAGATGTCCATTTTTGGATTGGGTCTTTAAATTTGAGGAACCTTGATTTTTTTTTTTTTTTTTTTTTGCAAATCTTTATACCTTCCAGATAAAAGTTATTTTTTTTTTTTTTGTCTTTTTCGTTTTTTTTTTTTTTTTTATCGGTACCAGGGATCGAACTCACGACTGCCTGCTTGCAAGGCAGGAGCTTATGCCGCTGAGCTAAATCCCCAGCCCCTAGATAAAAGTTATTTGAGGGGCAGTTGGCAAAATTTTTTTCCTGATCTGTGGGTTTTCTTTTCACTTTGTTGGTGATTTCTTTCAATGTGCAAAAACTTTTTAATAGGACAAGATCCCAGTTGTTGATTCTTTGAAGTAGTTCTCATGCAGTTGGCTTTTGGTCATGAACTGTGGTCCTACCCATATTTCCTCAAGATTTCTACTTTCTTTGTCTTCCAGTAGGTTTAGTGTTTCTGTCTTAATATTTAGAACTTTGATCCATTTTGACTTTAGTTTAGTACATGGTGATAGGTATGGATCTAGTTTAAGTATTCAGTATGTAGAAAGCCGATTTTTCCAACACCACTTATTAAAAGCTGTCTTTCTTCCAGTGAGCATGTTTGTACCTTTTGTCAAAGATAAGGTGGTTGAGTGTGCCTGTATCTTTGGTTCT